TATGGAGAGTCAAAGAGAGGGAAGTCGAGAAAATGAGAATCGCTAAAACGGGCGTTTTTGAATATCGCTAAAATTCACCCCATCTTTGAGGGTCGATATCTCGCGAACGGGGCGTCAGATGGGAAAACCCTTCAAATTAGTTTCTTATAATTATGTAAAGACCCCGTATACCAATTTTCAGCAAAATCGGAGGGGGTCGGGTTCCGAGCCTGGTACACTTGACGTGGAATGACCCTGCAGCTAGACGCAGATGAGACTTGAAAATTCAGAATCGACTTTAAATTTGCTATCAATATCACTTGTCAGGAAAATGCGATAATTTACGTTTTTTTAAATACGTCTGTTAAGTTCAAGTAAGAGAGGAAAATAGTAATTTTTAGTTCCATCAATAAACGAGCTGAATAGTGATGGTCAAAAGTTTAAAAAAGGATTCTTATGATTAAATATACATTCAAGAACTTACCAGGAGTGTTGACAGCCATTTTGATAAAAAAGTAAACATTTGGTAGCCTGTACCACTGCTATCACAACACTAGCGCATCATCAGCTGGAGGTGTCGCCACGCGCGGAGCTTATCTGATCACTTCCCCTCCCGCCCAATTCGATTTTAATAATCAAACTAACATCACAAATAATACCACCAATTTCCTCTTTTTTCATATATCTCATCACTTTTTCCATTCAACATGTTTGAAAATTTGAATTATTTCCATTGGATTTGCTTTGTGTGTGGCGGCCAATTTTGAAAGGTACAAGGGTAAATTTTTGTTTATAATACAAGACATGGCAAGTAAAGTATCATTTCTTATGTAATTTTCGTCGTAGATTTCATTTATAAAGTCATGAAAGCCCCCTGTCAAAGAGAGTGCCCCAAAGCTACGGTGGTGGCCTTTGAAAGGCAGGAGGGTGAGCTAAAAAAACAACTATCACGTAAGAAGGCAGGTTGGGTATCAAATTCTATGTATTTCTAGTCAAGGAGTCCGAATGCAATTTGAAAAATTAATGTTACACAAAAATGAGACGTGACGCACAAGATGGTGACCATCATGGCTGACAAGTCATAAACGGTGAGGTGTCTCACTGGTTAATGCACAATAACTCAGAATTCAAGTTCAGATGCTTTAGACACAGAGGATGAACAACTTAAAAAATCTCCTCTAAGTACCAAAATAATGCAGGAAATGTTCATTACAAAAATGAAACGTGTCATTTAAGATGGTGACCATCATGCGGCTGTCCAGGGTATGAAGAGAATTGAACAGGAGCACCTAACAGTTATTTTTGTTCATTTTAAAGCACATGTATTCCCATATAATGATAGGACATTAAATGTGACTTACCATCTCCAGTCAATATGGGAGAAAATCTGAATCAGGTAGTGGCGTTGCAGGATGAGGTTTGGGGGGAGGGGGACAAACCTCCCACCGGGAGGTGTTCAGGGGCCCACTCCTGGAAAATTCTCAGGATTCTTACTCTGTAAAACCCCACTTTTTAACAATTACTGTCATGAAAAGTGTTAAGAAACTTTCCACTATTTTTCCCCAAAAAGACCTTAAAAAAATGGAAAACTATTTATACAAGACCAAACGGGATGTTTTGTTTAAAGTATGAGATGGTAAAAATCCACGCACTTCCTGAAGAAAAAATGAGGCTTTTGAGGCAACGTTCGATGCTCTTTCGTCTGGCTACCAATCTTTCCACTCGTTTCTCTAGCCTAAAGTATCATTGTGTTCTCTCTCCGCCCGATTTTCGCTCCTTTCTCTTGTTCTTTTCTCTCTTTTTTTGGGACTCTGGAAGTGTCAAGGCCCCCTGGTCCCCCCGTAAATACGCCACTGAAATCAGCACCCGCTGATTCATGGTCAAAGTGAGGATAGTCAGGATCTTCTTCCTGGGGTCTCTCCAAGTTTTTACGGTTGAAGTCCTCACAATTTCAACGTATGTCTGTGCAGTATTAATTCATTCTCTGACATTTTCATTTTCATTCCACACGGTGTAGCCACCTTTTTTTACAATTACACCGAATAATTTTACGCAGCGATTCTGGGCTGGAGGTAAGTTGCTTATAATGGGATAAATTTCATCGTCGTTTGTATCTATGCACTCCCATTGACGAGCATTCAGATCTGTTCATACTATCCAGCTTTCTCTGTTAGTGCAAAACTTTGCTCAGGCTTCAAGAACCTTTCAGCATTATTGCATAGGTAAAGATTCGATGCCGACCTACCCAATATGGTTGCTTTTCCGATTCTGTTCATGTGAGAGGTTCAATTGCAGCCAAAGCCATACTGTGTGGAAGAACAGAAGCTGCTTACGTAAACGTAGATCGATTCTGTGACGGATTCAAGGGATGTTGTGAGCAATCGTCTTGGACTTTGCGCAATTAATATCACTTCTTAGGTGCAAAGAAAAATTGATGTCCTCAGATCGATTTAACCAAAAAACAAATAGTTCCAAATCGTATCCATTCACAATATTTGTGTCAGTGTTCTTATATACAAGCTGCCCTCCTTAATGATATCAAGATCTGTATCTTTTCTCACATGCACGATCTCACAACTGGTCGATTTGAGGTGTGTGCCGATTATATGGATAAGTTTACTCTTATCGACAGAATATGTCTAGATTTACCTCTTTCTTACCAACGAAGGGTAGATTTGGTGAGAAATTATCAGTGGGCGCGTATCTAAATTTTTCATTATAACCATAAGATCAGTGTCCGTCCCTACCATAACAACTGTTTCTCCTCTCTCAGCTTTCAAAATGGCAGACGAGACAATATCCCGATCTGCATCGGCCTCTGCAATAAACACCTCGACACCAACTTTTCTCAACTCCTCACTGACAGCTGCAATGAGCTTTTTCTTATTTTGTGAATTTGAGAGAAATTCAGCCTGCGTTTTCGTACCTACATTGCATTGCTAAAGTGAAATTTATTGTGGTTTTTTTTTTTTTTTTTTTTTGCTCTTCTTAATTTTTCTTGACCTTTTGTGGTTGAATATGCAGGATAACCATCGAAAACAAAAGATGAATGCTTAGTGTATCGCTTAAGAGCACAAGATACGTACATATTGACAATATCTCCGTAAGTGCCTCATACACGGAGAAAAAAATTTCGTTCGTGGGACCCGAAGTTTAGGTCATATGGATCTCTGAAGTTTTCGGAATGAGCATCTGAACACTTAAGGTCTAGCTGCCGAAGTTCAGGTCTGACATCTAAAACTTCAGTTCTTACCTCTGAAGTACTTCAGATGTGAGAACCGAAATTTATCGGATGTGAAAACCGAAGTACTTCAGATGTAAGAACTGAAGTTTCAAATGTCAGACCTGAATTTCGGCAGCTAGACCTTAAGTGTTCAGATGCTCAATCCGAAAACTTCAGAGATCCATATGACCTAAACTTCGGGTCCCACGCACGAGATTTTTTTCTCCGTGTACAATACATCCTCCGACTCCTGGAGCCATCCTGGTTCCTACCCTCAGATTCGGAACTTGACCGCTGGTCGGCACTTTGTCTATAGGATATTTCCATTCATTTTTCCTAGGAAGCGTGGTGAAAGCGGCATGCTGAACAAAATGCTCGGCACCGTCTTTTCATCGAGATGTCGTGTTTTTAAGGATGCTTCGGCCACCATCTTAATCCGTTCATAGTCAAATGAAGCGGCGCAATACTGCCATGCCAAGAAAGAACGCCGTATGAACATTCGGACGTTGCCCAATTTCCTCTGATATAATGAGAATTTTCCGGCAAACTTGTGAGCAATTTTCTTGGAAATTTTCAGGGAATCGAATACACAGTTTTGTTTACGGTGTCTGATAGGGTACCTATTGAAAAAATATTCATAATTTTCCGTAGGTATATGAAAAATATCGTATAAGAGAAAATTCGGCAACATTCGAACTTTCATGAGGCTTTCTTCGTAAGTACGGCAAAATATTTGCCGCAAGTCACAGTATATGCTCAGAAAAAATATAACGATGTCGATTGCAGTCAACTTAGTATGTGACTATCAAGACGATCGCCAGCCCCTCTGGTCGCCAGGCGTACCGCTCAGCGCTGGGTGCGGCACGGCACCGCGCGGCATCGCACTGCGTCATGTTTCGGTTCCTCTCCCACCCCATTCATTGTCCGAATCCTTACTTCACCAAGGACCAATTGAAAGGAAATTGTGTTCCCTACAAAGTTTTTAATAAACAAAAAGTTCATAGTTGCAGTTAGAAAAAAGTTATCACGCTCTTTGTGAAAAAGAGGCAATTCGATTTCTAAAAATTTGCGAATTTTTTCAAAATTTTCAGCTTTCCGTGGAAAAATTTGCATGATTATTAAAAATTTCTTAAAGAGTATATCAAGACGGACATTTTAAAAAAAAATTAGAGGTGTCTAGCTACATTAGGGTCTGAGTTATAGCGCTTTGAATCAGAGGGGGATTTTTCAACTTTGAGGGGGGCTAGCAAAAATCCCTAGGGGGGTAGGGATGGGGACTTTTGGGAAAATGGTCCTCTCAATGGGTACTATCAATGGGGGGAAAAATTAGCTTGTTACTAATTTGTTCATCAAACCCCCTCTTTTTTCCCTTTGTTTACTGGACTAAATCTCTTCACTTGGTCTTGGCAGCCAGGAACCATGCAAGGCCTCTTGGAGAAAATTTCTCTGAAAACTTCTTTTTGAGTCGTTTCTATGCATTTGTGGACGCTGAATGTTTTTAGCATGAGGAGGAGATTGATAGAACGGTGTCAGGTCAGAAAATTAAGGAATAGTCTCAAAGTAGCACAAATCAATTTAATTCAAATGCAGACTTAGCTGGCCCTGCTTGCGAACAAACCTGTAAAACACTGTACTATGAAACTTTTACAATTTTGCAGGGTAAAGCCCTCTCCGGTTCTATTTTACTGAGATCTTAAATGGTGATATTTGGAATAATTTACTCATTAAATAACTTATTTTCGTTCTAAGCTTACCTGTGAATACCTTCCTGACGTTACTATTTCACCTCTCATTACAGCCAGTTTGGAGCATCGAATTAGTGCTTTAGAAAGAGTCTGCGAGTATTACTATGCAGTGATATGGTTCTTAAACACAGGTTTACTTCCGGAACATACAACTATGATGCTAACAAATCCTCACAGTACTAGTGAGAATGTCGTTGTTCTTCATAACATCATGGCAACCCTTTACAAAAAATGTTCTCACAGGTATGTTGTTAAACTCCATCAAAATGATTTTGTCAATGTTGGAAAAGTGCTGTTGTCACTGATTTGGATGCCAGCACTCAGAGGTCACCAAGGGCAGGGGTGCAATAGGTCCATAGCACATGTGAGAGATGCAACCAATATAGCACGTTTTTTGTCGGTAAAATTGCACAATGCTCCGGCTACAAAGCCTCTGAGCATTTCATGGCTAAGATAACTTGCCCATTCCTTCAAAATTATCCATGAGGCAGCACCAATGACAACATAATTTTTCTCATCCAAAAATGATAATGGATTGAGTCAAAATACTCTATAAGTAGTAACAAAACACCGGATCCTGGTTCTGAAAGCCCTGGTGCTATATGGGACTCTGCCTAATCTAGTCCTTGTCAATGAAGATGCAAGAACTATTATGTTTGTCGTTTTTTCTTCCTGTTTGAAATTGTATATAGGTTGAAACCATTCTAGCTGCGAAAATACTAAAACAGATTTCCTTTTTAAAGAGCTTGACAGAATGTTTTCATTTTTAGCTTGCATGGAGTGTGAACATTCTTAAAAGATCCTGCAGAAACTTTACGTCTGCAACACTTTTTCATTTACCTTTCACTCTGAAGAACAGCAGGTGGCTATTAAGGCATGCTCAATAGTGAAAAGGTTTTGATGAACCCTAAACCTAGGCCTCATTTGAATAGGTTTAAGCCTAACTCATCTGCCAAATGGGTAGACTCTTTCCAAGGAGACTCTCTCTAAGAAGACTCTTTCTAAGAAGGTTCTTTCTAAGAAGGCTCTTTCTAAGATTATTGCATAATTCTATCCTCATATTTGTGTCTGTGTTGTGTGTTTAATTTTTTGGCTTCTATCATTAGTTCTCACTGATTGCTCTGTTGATTCGTCAACAGGAGAGTAGAGTTGAAGCGACTTCTACTGAAAGTCAAAGAAGAATATATTGGAATGAACCTTTCATCTATTTCCTCCTTGTACCTGATCGATTGTTTTATCAATGAAGACAAAGGCGGCAACAGTCTTATCAGCCAGTGGGAGAGAGAAAGCAATGGTTCTTCTCTCGGCTATTATCCACCAATTGGATTACAGTACCTTTTGAGAATATTCCTTATCCATGGTGTTGAATACAACACAAAGGTGGGAGTTATCTTCTACTTCCTTCTGGACACAAATGATATACTTCAAAAGGAGAATGAGAGGTTTGTCACATTACTTTGGTCTATAAATTTATGTGTGCAGATGAAAAATTAAGGCCTTTTTCTACTGTGCGACAAACGCATCTGCATTGTGGGCATGTGCTCAACAGCTGACAAACTCTGCTTTGAACTTTTCTACCTTACTTATACTAGATATACTTGCACAGACTTTAAGTTGTGAATCTTATTGCCGTTTAAGTTTTAATATTTGATAATACAGTAAAACTGGTTGTCCTTGACAATTTTGATCTATGCCCTAAGAAACAATACATTTTTTTATAATAATATTAAATTTTTCTACTTATTTAATTCTAATGTGATCTTTAAAAGTAAGTCACAATTCAAAATAATAAGGAAGCTCTAAATATCTGGTGCTTGAAATGTAAAGAACTTGTTCATCCTCTACTGTGAAATCTAAAAGTCCTGCTCCGCCGCTCCAAATTTTTGCCAACTGTGGTATGTTTTGTAACTTTGATAATATTCCTAAATCAAAGTTAACTACTTTCTGAAATCCCAAAATTTTGGGGAGACTCCCTAAGAAAGGGAGCACAGATTTTAACGGTTTTAGGGATTTTTACCAATAGATTCAACAGTGACATAGCTCCTGGGTGTTTTTTTGACACAAAAAATACAAATTGGACATTATGTTTGCAAAATTTTGAAGCCCGTTCAACATGGCGGCCTAGTTCTAAAGGTGTTGTTGCCAATGAATCTGCCAAAAAGTCAGTATTCATGGGCTTATTCTTGCAAAAATACGGATATTCCCTCAGATTTTCAAAATTTCTTAGTTCTTCCAAGGTGACGGCCAATCGAAATGGTGGAAAACCCATTCTGAAGGGTCTTTGCCCACAAATCTGCTAAAAAATCAGCATCTTTGAATTTCTTAAGACAACTCATACAAATTACAGGTTAAGAAACCCACACCCTGTCAATCAATTTTTAAACGAGCGACTTCATTGAAACCCGAAATTTGAATTTTTTGCCGTTTTCATCGGCTGCAATCTTGAAAAAGCTTTAAAATTCTGACAATCTGATACCAAATCCCTACGTCTTGTGTCAAGATAGCTGTAAATATTGATCATCAGGCTAACTTATCGGGAAAAGCCCCCTAAGAACCCTTCAAAACAGGTTCCCTGCCCTTTTCATCAATACAATTTGAAAACCTGACGCCTAATCCGCACTTCTTCTGTCAAAAAAGTCTGAGAATACTAACCTTCTGGCATACCCATGAACAAAAACCCCTGAAAACCCTTTAAAATAGATCTCCCGCCTGGAAATGGTTTCTGGAACCTGGAAGGGGTTCAACATTTTGAAAACTTAATGCCAAAATTGGTATTTCTCATGTCAAGCTGTAGAAATATTCCAAACAATATTGCACTCTATTCCACTAGTTGCAGCTTGGAAATGCTGCTGAGATAAGTCTCTGAAAATTTCAAGATAAGGCTCTCAAAAATTCCTGCCGGAACTATGAGAGTTCACCGTGATGAAAATATATCATAAACCATCTTTTAAAATTTTAAGTGTAAATGGGCATTGTGAGTGTATAAGAAGTCCTAAAAAAAGTATACTTGTCGCAAGAAATTTTCACCAAGAAATTTTGTTCAATGTGCTTAGGTATAGTTTTTTCAAGTTGAGCCCTTCTTTTGTTAACAGTTGTCAGCCTGTGATGGATCGTTTCATGAATTTTGTGTACGGATTTGGATTGAAAAAAAACCTTCAGCTCATCATTCAAGCTATGTGGAATATAGATAATCAGCAGTTTGAGGTAAAATATTCACTTACTTCTTTTTAACGTTCTTCAGTTTTGCATTTAGAAAAAGAAGGAGGATGCTGAATTCTGAAGTATTGTCTGTGAGTTGTATCATCATTAATATAAACTTCAAAGGATTCAGACTTTCAGTCGATTCCACTTTTTTCTATTTCACTCGAGACGTTGCCAGATAGTGCGATAAATGTAAATATTTTTCATGGATTTGAACTGGGAAAAGTGCTGAAAAAGAAACTTATCTGGCAACAGCAGAGTCCGAGAGGGACGAGAGGCTGCCTCCTGGGAAAACCCGTGATTTAGCCAGAAATGTCATTAAAACAAATTGGTTCTGCTTGAAGCATCAAATGAATATTAGGGAAAGCTATTTTAAAATAATAATTGTGAATGGACACAGATGCTACAAAAATGGAAAAAATGAAAGCGAAAGGAAATGAAATAAGGATATAATTACCTATGCAATCAGAGAGAATAAAACAAAAACATTAGAGAAATTCTTATGCTGTGAAACTTCAAAAGAAAACAACACAAGTGGGCTCATAGCGATTTCAGAACTCGAACTATACTATCGTTGAGCAGTTTTTAGATCCCTACACAACCGATAATCTCCTTAGGAAGTAAAGATGAACTTTTGCTACTTCCGTAAGTCAAATCGCGGAAGGAGATCCATGGTTGTCACTTCCTTCCTTCCGATGGGACTAACGTCCCAGTCAAATGCGTTTTTGAAGAAATCCCCATCATTGCGTCATCTCCACATATTTATTAATGTGCAAGTGATGGCTTGCTCCAGTAACAAAGCTCTGTGACAAAATCATTTTTGTCTTGAGACTCTCCAAAATGTAAACATCATAGTGATCAAATGTCCAACTAGTCAGAAAAATGGCTCCCGTAGCCGTTTTGGACACGCAGAACAGCTAGTATAAAATAATTCTGGATTTTTGTGAAGGAGAAACTTGTAAGGATAACGTATGATTTATTTTAAATGATACATATCACTCATTTTTTTGGGACTTATCATGTATCATATTTTTACTATGTCTGGGTAAATATGGTTTTTCTTTCCCAAATTAAATTGGAAAAAAAAAAAAAAAAAAATTGAAAATGGAACAGCATATTCTCACTTGTTCAGGACCACCTTTTTTTTTCTTTATTTTTTTCCACCATGGAGCAGTAGACAAGGCACAAATTTAAGCATTTTGATATATGTTTCTCCACAAGAATTTCTAATGGAACACGATTTGCGCCATGAAAATTGCTGAAAGTCTTCTTCTTTCATGTCTGGAGTAAAAGACATAAACATACATACATGAGTCGCTTTTAAAGTGCTCTCTGGCACTTTGCGACGCTCAATCGCCACAAAACTCGGTCTTCCCACAATCCATCCAGGAGTTGACACTCCCTTATCTCATTTAACACCCCGTGTCGCCACCCTCTCACTGGGTGTCCCCTTTGCCTCCTCCCAGGAAGAACCCAATCAAGCATCTTCCGTGGCAGCCTCTGTTCCATCATCCTATTAACATGATCGTTCCAGACAAGCTGTTTGGTCATGACGTCTAACACAATGTCATTTTCGACTTTCATCATATGACGTACTCTCTCATGACAGACCTGATTTCTCTTAGAAATTCCTGCAGACCTCCTTCAGAAATCCATCTACGTTGCTCTTAACATATCCTGTGTCCGTTTTTTCAGATGCCAAACTTCACATCTGTCTGCTAATACACTTTCAACCACAGCGTTGTATATCCTCCTCTTGTTATCTTTGGAAATCCGCTGATCCCAGAGGATTCCATTTAACATTGCTATAACCACAGACACAGCCAGACACAGACATAAACTTAATCGGTGATATAATTTCTTTCTAAAATTAGGTCACTCCATGTGCAGACCACCGGTTTCATTTGAGGGCATTCAAGGAGATGCTTAAAATTCTACATTTTTCCACACTCATATCCGTCATCAGTGCCATATCCCCATTTTACGATGCTCGATTTACAGCGTGTTGTTTCTGTCTGTAATCTGTTCAGATTCTTCCATGTGCCAAACGGCAAATGGAAGTTTGCGGATCCTTCTTTTCTCAGTTCTACTATGGAGTTGGGGGCTTTCTGCCTCCAAAGTTTTATTCAACGCTCAGTTGTAATAGTTGCAAGCTGAGCAGTTGTTTGTATGAAGCTCTTACAGGATTTTAGTCTATACGGTTGTACTTGGTGTTGAAACATAGGATGTCGATGATCTAGACCCTGTTTTTTCCTCTCAATCTCGGCTGACACGTCTTTTGATTGCTAATGGTGCTACTCCAATCTGCAGGTACACTTTGTCGATTGGAGTTAGTTTCAAGCAGCAGGATATGATACGTGCGGGTTCATTAACTGCTACAGCCATATGCTTTGCATGGCTTGAATTGCTCCAAACAGGCGCAGCATATTCTGGAGCAGACGCTAAGCGCAAGGGCTGTTGCACACAGAACGTGTGACTCGGCTCCCCGGGTTGTTTCCGTTAGGGTCCTCAATATGTTATTTTTGGCACATACTTTTTTCTTGGTGTCATGACAATGATGTTTAATTGTGAGGGCTCTGTCCCAGATTTACGCCAAGGTAAAAAAAAAATTCTAATTCTTCTAAATTCTTCTAATTTAAATTTCTTTTCAACTAGTTGGACTATTATGACAATTAAAAAAATTAGGCCTATTATTACATGCAATCCGTGGAATCCAGTTAAAATAAAAAAGGAATTTCCAAATACACTATCATTAAATCTAACACTAGAATTTATATATTCATATCCTTGAATTACTAAAAAATATATTCCTAATAAGATGGATATCATTAATCTAATTCTTGAATTTTTGAATTTATTTATAGTTAAATCATAATGAGCTCAGGTGATAAAAAAACCTGATATTAGTAAAATCATAGTATTTAACAAAGGAATATCTATAAATCTTATTTGAGTAATCTTGAAAGGGGGTCAGATTGATCCTGTTTCTATATCTGGGGTGGGCATATGGGTTTGGGGTGTTGCAATGTAGTGGGTGTTCCTGAAAGTAACTTCTAACATATTAACGTTTTTTGACACATGAATACAAACTTACCACTCCTAGAAGAAACAATAATCGCCTTGAGTTAAATCATAAACTTAACGTTATAAGATGGTCTTTGAAATTTGAAAATATGGCAAACTTATTATTTGCGATTTGGCTCAGCTACCTTAAGTTAAGTATACTTTGACCAACACAGAGTAGGGAAGTAATACTGTGTATCAAAGAGCCTACCAACACTGTTGAAAGTGTGCGATTTAATTCAAGTAGCCTTTACTGCCTCATGTAAGGGGGACATTCAAATTTTTTGTAGCCAATGCTAATTGTAAACGTTAATATCTTAGTTTAGAGTCAATTTCAGTAATTTTTGTCGCGCAAATCGAGTTCTACATGAAAGTTTGAAGAGCCAAGAGTTATCAGAGTGCTTAAATTGGTGCCTTGTCTTGTGGTCCATTATGGCCTCATCTGTCAAATCCCTAATTCTGAGTATCAATTAAATTACATGCACTCCTTTTCAGTCTTGTTTAAAGCCTTCTTAGTAGGGTGCACCATTACATTCACCCCCTCAAAATTGTAAAACCAGTCTGACATCCTTAGCAAAAAATTGCCTAGCAACTCTTAACAACTCTTTTTAAGGTATGTAATTGTGAAGTTAGATATCAAGATCTCTTGTGAAGACCGTTCAGCATAGCCACATACTATCAATGGAAGTGAAGAGTTATCTGGATCTTTGTTTCAGTTGGGGGTCAATTTACTAGTTCAAAATGAGGATTGCAAAAGTGACATCAAAGCATGGCTTCATAGGGCAATCCTGAGGATCCTGCTCTTCCACAATGAAGTGAAACTTGCTCTAAAATATCTGCAAATAATAAAGCCACCATTAGTCGAGTCCGAAGACATTCTGTAAGTATTGCACAAAGTCATGGAGTCAACATCCAATAGCTTGTAAACGTTGTACGGTTCGTCTCAGAAGGAGGTAAAGGAAACTGTGTTGCCCACTCAAAATTCCTTCGGAATCTTGAAATGAGATGCATACTCAGTCATTTAAGCCTAAAATGGAAATATTCTGTCGAGCTCTTCGAAAATCAAATCGATTTTTGTATTTTTGGCGCCAGAATGGCCTTCAAAGACGATCGACGAATCAATTCCGACGGGGTGTGCATATGTAAAATGATAAAAGCATGATGAAATCTATATATTTCTGGACCAGAAATCGATTTAGCAGGGTCCCGAATTGCTCTGACGCTTCATTCGCCGAAAATTGGGCTTTTTTTTTTAGTGTTGGGGTGTTTTGGGCCCATTTTTTCACAGTCTTGGCATGAGAAAACCTGTGCCGTCACGGGTAATGATTATCAGGTCATTTTGGGCAGACCATCGAATGCACTTGGTCCTGTGACACTTGATACAGGGTTTTTGAGATGCGGGGGATCAAAGTCCCCGATTTTCACTCAATTCTGCAGGTATTTTAATATTCAATTCCGACTATAAATTGTTTTCTGATTTAGAGATCGAAGCACGTTTTGCAGTGGTTGATTCAGCTACATGTGGTGGATTTTTCTACATATTTCACAAACCCTTACTTTGTTCTGGGGGGGGGGGGGGGGGAGTGTCTTTTTCTATACAGGGATTTTGATGAAACTCAGCAACCAGGGGTATTTTTTTCAGGGAAAGTACGAATCTGACATCAGAATACAAAAAATATTACGATGTTTTATAATTGGCAGGCTTTCAAATGGAGGTCATATTGTCGGGAGTCATAACCCTACACCAAAAATGTACCTACTTTAATTCAGGGAAGTTTCGTCCAAATCGTAAGTCAATATATGCAACCGTCCTCCAGGTAGTAATATTTTTGGTGAGGGGTCATGACCGCCTTGTCCCCCAGGAAGGTGGAGGGTAGGTTCAACTTCTCGAAAAAATCGATATGACCGCCATTTGTAAGCCTGCCAATTATAAAACATCGTAATATTTTTTGCATTCTGATGTCAGATTCGTACTTTTCCTGAACAAAATACCCCTGGTTACTGAGTTTCATCAAAATCCACCGCTTAACGATCAAGATATCAATTTTTCGCCATTTTGAATTTGATCCAGCCGCCATTTTGTGATGTTGATAGATGGCAACCTGCAATTACCGCGAATAATTGTCTTATTAAGTTCTTTCTAACGAGGAATCACACTATGGGGGTTCCCATTCGAGATCCGAAAATTGCCCTTTATCCCCAACCCCTGGGGGGCGAGGGGGGTCATAATCCATTACCAAAAATGCACCTCCTTCAATGCAAGGAAGTTTCATCCAAACCGTAAGTCAATATCTGCAACTGTTCTTGAGGTATTAACAAATACCCACACCTTGTGCACACCCTGTATAGAAAAAGACACCCCCCCCCCCCCCCCAGAACAAAGTAAGGGTTTGTGAAATATGTAGAAAAATCCACCACATGTAGCTGAATCAACCACCGCAAAACGCGCTTCGATCTCTAAATCAGAAAACAATTTATAGTCGGAATTGAATATCAAAATACCTGCAGAATTGAGTGAAAATCGGGGACTTTGATCCCCTGCATCTCAAAAACCCTGTATCAAGTGTCTCAGGACCAAGTGCGTTCGATGGTCTGCCCGAAATGACCCAATAATCATTAACCGTGACGGCACAGGTTTTCTCACGCCAAAACTGTGAAAATATGGGCCCAAAACACCCCAACAGAAAAAAAAGCCCAATTTTCGGCGAATGAAACGTCAGAGCAATTCGGTACCCTGCTTAATCGATTCCTGGTCCAGAATACATAGATTTCATCATGCTTTTATCATTTTACGTTTGCCCACCCCATCGGAATTGGTTCGTCGATCGTCTTTGAAGGCCATTCTAGCGCCAAAAACACAAAAATCGATTAGATTTCCGAAGAGCTCGACAGAATATTTCCATTTTAGGCTTAAATGACTGAGTATGCATCTCATTTTAAGATTCCGAAGGAATTTTGAGTGGGCAACACAGTTTCATTTAACTCCCTCTGAGACAAACCGTGGTTGGGATTGGCGTGCATATTCTGAACAATCAGCCTAAAGTATCTGATTCCACCTTTTTCAGTCTGACGCTAATTTGAGCATCCCTTCTTATATCTTCTCTATTTTCCAAAGAGTTCTGTTAACAGAGTTTAAAGGTCCAAGAGACCATCTGCAGAGAAGAAAATCTTGCCGCAAGTGGCACAGTTTTTTCTCTAGGGTTGTCAGCAAGTAGGGAGACTTGTTTATAGTCAGTGCATTTATCACGGCATGAGTGTATTTTCCCAAGAGTTTCAACGAATGTAATACCTCATTATTGAGTCGCATCTTTTATTTTAGTTCGAAATGTTCTCCTTTTTTTTGAGTTTTTGCACAACCCCTTCCCCCCTTCCCACACCTAGTAATTACCAATGGCCTTAATAACTAAATGGGTGAGCCAATTTTGCTGGAATTCAACAGGAAACCAGTCTTCGTAGACTTCTAACTACCGTTTTAATTTTTGACTCCAATAATTTATTTTTACTCTAGCTATAGTGTGGCCCCCCTCCCTCCTCCCCCAAATATGTGAAACACCTTATAGCTACCATTATGGAAGGCATCTACTGTTGAAAGATAGATAGATGATAGAAATATAGATACTAATTAGACTGTTAACTCATGTCAAAATTCCAGCTCAAAATATTCATTTTTACTCGAATTATCGTGCTGACGAAAGTAGATTTTCCCCACTTTAGCCCTTCATGGTACAAATACTAATCAACATATTCTGATTTTGTTTTTCTACTTAGCCAGTGTAATACAATGGAGTAAAGCTCTCAAAGTGGCACTAATTCTTCAATTTCTCAGCCATTCCTGCATAAAATTTCTCAAATATTTTCAGATGTGATCTATGATGTATCCAGAACCCAATCGGTTATCTCCACGTATCATTGGACCGACAATCTTTAAGTGGCTGACAGTCAATAATGCCATTGATAAGCCTTTTTGAGAGTTCTACTTCATTCATGTGATACGCACACTGGCTAGTCGGTCGACTTACGTTGAAGTCGCCTCTGATCACTATCTTAACTTTTTCATCTGGTAATGAGATACCACTGCAGAGATTTTACTATTAGATTTCATTACCTTTTTGCTCTCCCCACAGATTCCATCTGCACACTCTGCTAACCAATGGACTGTTGCATCAAGCATTCTTATTCCAGCGGAAGTATGCATCACAGCAGGATAATCTTCTTTTAAGACTTTTCGAAGGTTGGCAACAATTTGTCTTATTCACCTAGTTCCATATTGATCATTTTTAGTACCTCAAATAGTTTTCATGCATAAGGTAACTACAATGAAGGAGATCATTCTAAATCTGGAATCTAGACGCTGAACGCAACCTTGGTAATTCGTTCCATCACCGATAAAATTTGTGGAGGTCATTATATGCCTGAGGTTAAATAATTCTGGTGGTGTTGCATCAGGCACATGAGGCTAATGCAGTACACATGCGGCTAATGCAGTACACATGCAATCTTGAATCAGACATTAGCTCAGCGCTGTCCCTAGTATTATGAATGTGAAGTGTTCCATACTCACCGAGGTTGGATCTAGGCTGGGCTGGCTATATTTTGCCCAATATCATCAAAAATAGCTCCCTCTCCCCCTTTCCCTTGGGCCAGCTTCTAATGCCATCTCATCTTGGCCCCTCCCTCTTGTGCCATGTGTCCATGTGCGCATACCTGTTTCAAACTGCAAATCTACAAAATGAAATAGATGGTTGAAGAACAGGGCTGTGCGAATATTCGAAAATCTCGAATTTAATTTTTCCGATATTCGATTCGAACTCAAATTCAGAAACCTCGAATAATCGAATTATTCGAGAACATTGACTAAACTTCGAATATCTAAAGAAAAAGATCAAACACTCGTACTTTCGGCCTTATTGATGACGTACTAGAAAGAACTCGAACAGGCGCTCAGTTCAAACTACTTGTTTTGAGGTTAGGTAAACGAAGGCCAACGTTTCATTGGTTCATTCAGCGCATGGCACTCGCGGACTCGCATTATTAGACGGATCAATTCAAAATTCGCGTCACTTGAGTTCCACCGAATACGTCATCAACATGGCGTACAAATGGGCGAATGTACTGATCTCCATAACCTATCCTCCTCCGCCTCGCGTGGCACCCTGGTCTTTACAATGTTGCTGGATTATTTTTGCAAGATCAGCATTGATGTGCAGTAAAACAGAATAAAATGGATTTTCGGACAGTAAGCAGCTGTTTTCGCGACAGTTCAATCAATTGCTTGTTCTTAATTAAAGGAAACAATTTTCTCTCCCTTCTATTCTTTCCCCAGCAAATCAAAATGTATGCAAAACCATTTGAATATGAAATAAATTGATTAATTCTTGATCTTTTTAGCTATAATAGTAATTTCTTTGTTCGAAATTTGAATTTTAGAAAGAAAAAAAATTATTTATTCAATTTTTACTTCGACTAACACAGAGGTTGGTTTTGGTCAAAAATAAATGAAAACTAAAATTATTCGTTTCGATTCGAATTCAAAACTTTTTCAAAGTATTCGATTCGACATCAAAAGAACCACATTCGCACAGCCGGATGAAAAATGGAAAAAAAAGTTGAAGCTAGTATAGATCGATGTATTACTTACATGTGTTACTCCAACAAACAATCAACCAAGTGCTTCAGGCTGGGCCNGGGGGGGGGGGGGGTTAGCTTTCCTGCTTGCATTCATTCCCTTCCTACATCCTTTTTCCTCTCATCTCTCAGTTTCTCTTTCCCTCCCTCTCTCCCTCTCTCTCCCTCCCCCCCTCTCTCTCTCTTTTTGTGTCTCCATCTCTTCTAATCTCATGCAGTAACTCTCAACTTTTCAAGTTCAAAATTTGGGGATTGCCCAAAATTTGCCGCTAGGGGCTGGACGTGGGAAATAGTGGCTCATAAGTAAATCCAATCCTGATGCCCATCAATACATACGTATTAGATAAGATACTACGATGCTCTCAGTTTATGAAAGAAGATTTTTGCTTCTAAATTCAAGTGATGCTAGAATAATGTGAGCGACAACATGCCATAAAATTTTATGTTCACCCGAGAAACAAGCTGCGGAGACTTTCTCGTTTCTTACTGAAGCTTTCAGGGACTCAGTTGTGGGTCACAGCTCAACACATCAGCGGTTTAATTGGGCCATGTGTTACTGTTGTGAAGTTATGACCTAAAGCCTCAGCTGTTGCAGCCGTTTTGATCCATTGATTAAAACTGGGATCATGAGCAATTTTATTGGGATCAGTATTTGGGATATGAAATGGGATTGAGATTGTTTTACAAGTGAGACTCATATGTTAGAAGTATTACAATACCGGAGGTAAATTAAGCATATGCCTGGATTTACTGTTGAATTCTAAATCACCTCTATTTGGTTCAAAAAGAGGGAACTGCTGTTTTCCAAAACGGTCCAGTTTCATATGTCTTCATTTCAATCACATTCGCCAAACTTAATTTTAGAATTGTCACTAAGCTTGCCTCTTCAAAAATATTCTGTTTAATTCCTGAAGGGTGTATCAGAAAGAATAAATTGAGAAATAGAAAAAACAAGTTAAGACAAATGTTTTCTGGTAAAAGATCTTTAATAGAAGAAAGCATTTCAGGGGATCAAGCTATTCTACTTCAGTGATTGAGGTGAAAGGTTCAAAAAAGAAAAGTAAAAAGAACTTAACTTAACTTGGCACTTGTAGGGACCTTTTGTTTTGTATGTGCGGGTTTTGAAATTAAAACAATAAAATTAACTTAGATAGGTTGTGTCTGCATGAAATTGTGGTTCTTAAAAGGCAACTTTTAAAACGTGGTCGGTTTGGCACTTTCACTCAATAGGTAAGTGCCCTGTAGCAATAACAAAAAAAAAAACCAACTCTCTCATCCCCACTATAAGAGTTACCTGCTTCTCGTCCAGACATTCCTTTCGTTAGAATCGTTGGAACTCATTCAAATTTTGCAATATTGTTACTTTTGGTCAATTAAAGGTCAAGTTGGAATTTGGGTTCAATTGCACTTACAGTTTACCTATAAACGGTCATTAACGTAAGTTCTCTACTTAAGCTGTTTTTCCACCTAACAGTCTTCTTTTAAATTTCCAGTCTTCCTTTCCTTGATAACCTTGGTTATTTATGATCTGGCTGGCTGCTTCAGCTCGCTACGCTCGCTTGCGCCGCTAGCCGGGGGCAAGCCCTTTGGACCCCCAGTCACTCGCGGAGCGAACCAAATTTTGCTACTACAAGTAATTAGAGGACTTCCTGGTGGCAAAGTGATAAATTCAAAAACAAAGAATAAGAAAGTAATAATGATAACCACCTACTTTTAGAAAAAGACACATCCTTGAAAATTAAAAAAAAAAACACTCCTGTAAAAGAAAAACAAAACACTTCGTGAAAATTTAACGGTGCGAAAGGGTGAAAATTAATCATCAATTCTCTTGGAAGAATACATAAGCTGCCGTAAAAAAGTTAATTAATAATAAAACCTATGCTGTACCTGTGCTAAAAGGAAAATTATCTTTTGAAAAATACACATCAAAACTAAGTAATTTTCATTTACGTAAAAAAAAGTGAAGACAAAATCAAGAAAGCAAAACTCTTTTTATGATATTATGAGCAATGTGACGAAGGAAATTTTAAATTACGCGTGTCCTGTGATAGGGAACAACATATCCAACTCCAGGGATAGTCCATGAGGGGGCGAAATCGCCGATTTTAAATAACCCTCTTTATGGTGAAATACAGGGTAAACTTCCTAAAAATGGATATATCTTTGATTCTTTGAAGATTAGTTGCATTCTCTATCTTCCGTCTCAATTTTGAGTAAATGTTGAGTATTGTGCCTGAATTTTTTTTTTTTGAATATTTATTAACAAGTCTTTGGAAATACAAATTGAGCACTTTTAACTTAAGAGTATGAAACATATATATCGTAGAAATAGCTAACTACTAATGATAAATGAGTGAAAGGTGAAGAAGATGAGAACATGAGAAGAACTTAATGTAATCTTAAAAATATAGAGTTATCGAGACATTAGGATGAAAACCCAAGCGGCGTTCGTAATTTTCCGTCAGTTCCCGAATGTGATTCTTCACTGACATGATGCTTAAGTCCTTGTGGATATCAGAGTTTCTGATATACCACTCGGCATTAACCATCTGTCTCCGAGTCACATACTGGAACGTCTAGATCCTTTCTGATGTTACTGTCTGCAGCACATCCCCAGAACATGCAAGCATAACTCCAGACGGGCCCTAAGATACATTTATACCAAAGAATTTTGTTATCAAGGGAGAGTTTGGAATTCCGTCCCAGCAACTAGTGTATCCTCTTGCGTTTAGCTTTAGGTGTTTGAGTTTAGATTTTATGTGCTCTTTCCACTTGAGCTTTTTATCCTGGATTGCTCCGAGATATTTAGCCCAGTCGCAGGAAAGGATAGGTTTCAAGTCAAGGGAGACGGGCTTCTGGCCGACCCTCCTGTTTGAAATGATTAGATGTTGCGATTTCAAGTTATTAAGTGCAATCTTCCAAGTCTTTGTCCACTTGAAAACGCTGTCAAGGGATCCCTGAACAGGGCGTTAGCCTTAGGCAGGTCATCTCCTACTTTTACGATGGCAGTATCATCTGCAAAGGTACCCAAATCAGAATCGGGGTTCACTGGAATATCACAGGTGAACAGCAGGTAAAGGATTGGTCCCAGGACGCCACCCTGGGGGACACCCGCAAGGATGGCCCTCAGTGCAGAGCGCGAACCTTCATATCGAACCCTAAAGGACCTGCCGCTCAAATATGACTGCAGAAACCTGTGGTGGTTATCTGGTAGAAGTTTACGAATTTTCTTCGTGGTGGACTCGGTCGAAAGCTTGGCTTACATCTAGAAAAACGCAAGAGCATACTTTTCCCTGTTCCAATTCGTTTTTGGCCATACTCACAACTCTGTGGATTTGTTCCATCGTGGAATGACGACTCATAAATCCGAACTGATGGTTCGGGATAATTTCCCTCTCATCAATCAGGGGAAGGAGGCGTCTCAAATATACTCTTTCAAATAATTTCCCCAGAATAGAGAGAAGGGAAATAGGTCTATACGAGGAAGCTTTGTATAAAGGCTTACCAGTTTTGGGGATGACTATTACTTCCGCTTCTTTCCACTCTGAGGGAAAGTAATTAAGAGATAAAGCAGAGTTGAAAATGGTAGCAAGCTTGGTCATACTT